GTATTTTATTTTTTGGGGAGAACTAATATGGAGTTTGAAGTTTGAATTGTCCTGTTTTGGTCGTAACAATTCGTGACTGTGAGCGGGAAATTTGAAATTTGCAGGAATTTTTTTATTTTTTAACCCTAACCCATGAGCGGGAAAGAAAAGCATTGCTTTGGGGAATTTTAAATATTTTTTAACCCTAAGCACTCCACAGTAAACCCTAAATCGTAGGCGGCAAACCCCTACACCCTTCAAGTCGTTTTTTAATTGAAAATTTAAGTGGAAACGATTAAAAATTGAAAAAAAACAGGCATGTGGTGGCATGGGAATGCGCTGCGTGTCGGTCAGGCTTGTAGCTCTCCACTCCAGCGCCTCCACTTGGCATTTCTTGTATATTTTATTCCTTCTTTTTTCCAAAAATTGTAAAAAAAATGCATGAAAATTACGAAAAAAAATTGGGAAAATTCTTAACTCTGTGTGGGGATGAATACTTCATACGGAAAGTACAAAACCTTGTTTAGGAGCGAGTGAAAAATAAAATTAGGGAACGAACCCTACATTCGGATGATGCGAATGAAAACACTAATACACTTTGTAAACCCTACACTCTCATTTGTTCGATCACATTAATCCCGTATCCAAATTTGTTTGCCCTGCCCTTTTTCGGGATATGTCATCGAAAGAAATCTCGTCCCGATCGCGGAGGAATTTTTCTGCAATTTTTCACCCTTAAATTGGATTTTTAATTGAATATTTAAGTGGAAACGATTAAAAAATACAAAAACTGGCGTGTGGCGACATGGGAATGCGCCACGTGTCAGTCAGGCTTGCAGCTCCCCACTCCAGCGCCTACACTTGGCATTTCTTGTATATTTTATTCCTTCTTTTTTCCAAAAAACGTAAAAAATGCATGAAAATTACGAAAAAAATTGGGAAAATTCCTAACTCTGTGTGAGAATGAATTACTTCGTCAGGAGTTTTGGGTTAATACTTGGCAAAATGTTTTTTGTGGAAATTGATATGTAATTCATTAAGTTAGTGAAAAGGGATTTCCGTAATATGGGAATCAATGATTTTTTTGTTTGGTGCAGAAATCCTAAAAATTGCTGGACAAATCCGAAAATAATGGGGAAATGTCGTAGATGGTTATAATCAAAATGAGAAAAACCCTCCACTTATGTCGTTGGTTAATTTAGATTTTTAAATCATTATGTTAGTGAAAAGGGATTCCCGGATGACTTAATTAAACTTCTGTTTTGTTGCAAATATAGTTTCAAATGCAGGACAAATCCGAAAATTAGGGGGAAATTTTTTGGGGTATTTATGGGATCATCAGAGTATCTTAGAAGATCAAGGATGGCTCAGACTTCCACTGTCAACGAAGTGACTGAAAGGATAATCCCTTATGCGTTGACAACACGCAACCTCTCTACCATATGCCTGTCTGTCATGTTGAACGAATGACTGTTTGGGTGATCTGAACCAGCAATACCCCATGTCAGACCACTTACTCAAACCATATAGGACCCAAAACCTCGTGTGCGACAAACTAAAAACATAATATACAGAACAGATGCGTGGATGCCACTAAGTAACACAAACGTCTACAACAGGACTTAAATTAGATCTTACAGGTGTACTGAGCTTTAATAAAACCATAAACATACCTTGAAATAAAAACAATACAACCATAAACATAAGGTTCACACAATTTCCCCTTTACATAAAAACAGTCAAAACCAAAAACACACTTTCTTAATAATACTCATATCATACGATGTATATGAAAATTAAATCCACGAGGTCATCAAATGGAGTTCGCGCTGGAAGCAGAACAACTCCCTCGTCCATTTGCAGGGTTCACAGTAGTTCCAAGCATATACGTTGTCACAGTATTCGCCCCTGCGGTGCCATAATTGATACCACTCCCGATTACCCTCACAGTGAATGCAGTCTTCAAAATAACTTTCGTCAGTAGTAAACTTTGCAAGCGTTGGAGGAGTCACGATGCCACACATTGTATACCTCAGCAGTCGATAGATGATTGAATCCCTGCAAGCTTGCCTGTTAATTTTCTTGGTTTTGCTGAGATGACACAAAAAGTTCATCTCATCCTCCTTGCCCTCACTAGTGTTCAACAACCCTAGCAAGCCAACAATGTAGGAGGATTCCATATGCCCTGCCATAGCCCCCACCCACAGGTTCTTGACCGCCTCATCAGCTTTCAATAGGAAGAAGTCATGAAAAGCTTCTCTGTAAATGATTTCTGGATTGTTATGTTCTTTTCACTTTTGCAAGAACTCAACAATTTTGCCTTCATCAAACCCGTACTAGTCCTCATGCCACTGGTACTTATCTACTGACACAGTTCGCCAAACCTCAGGATCCACTACAAGAAAACATGGATTCGGCAACGAAACATTATGCAACGACTAAAATCTCCTTGCCTATAACTACAATAGGCAACAACTTTTTAAAGTCCTTGCGTAGTCTGACATCTGTGAATGCGGGAAACCTAGATCCTCGCTTATTAATTTCATTTTGTTGCCAATTTCATGGAGGGGGAAATTTGCCGCCATAATGAAAATGTAATAGGCAACAAGTACATGTGTGCTTGCGTATAGCTATGGACAACAATTTTTTATCGTTGCTTAAATTATAAGGAGAGGACTTAGAGAGAAAGTGCAACAACATGTCAAATACATGAGGCAAAGAATTGGTTTCCTTGTCTTTTAATAAAACCAAGGAATCTAATCAAAATAAATAACCGTCGTAGTTTGACTTTCAAAAAGACGACTGTCGATTTAACGACGGTTTGAAAAAGAAAAAGACGACGGCGTTTCCCCGTCGTCTATTTCAATTTTTGTAGTAGTGTATGCACAAAACCCACAAAGAAAAAAAAAATATGTGATATTTCCAAGGCACTCAACTCTATCTCAAAATTCTATAATCTCCTTTCTAACTCAGACCTTCGGTGCTTGTCCCAGCTCCTCCTTCATCTCCTTTCTAACCCCATTTAACCCTCTTACTTTCAGTCAATCATAGAGAAAAACCAAAGGCCACCCCATCCACATAGGTTAGTTGGAAGATATGGTCTTTATTTCTCAGTTTTTTGTTTCATTTTTCATTTTTCATTTCTTTTCTAATCCCAACTTCTCATTTTTCTTGTAGCACGAAGAGACCAAAGACCCACTCATTCTTTGTTTTTCCAGCACCATGGCCATCACATAGAATTGGTAATCCCAACCACACCATTAAACCGTTGTCTTTCTCATTTTGGGTAAAAAAAAAGCTTTCTTTTCTCTGTTTTCTTTTCTAGTTTTCACTTGGTTTTTTTTTTTTTTTATGGGTTTCATTTACCCCTTTTTTTTTCTTTTGTTTCTTTACAAATTTTTTTGTTGGATAAGGTATTTAATCTGCAAAATTTCCTACTTCTTTGGATAAAAAGCCTTTCTTTTTCTCTAGTTTCACTCTGTTTTTCAAAGTTTCATTTCCTTTTTTTTTTGTCTCTTCTTCTTTGCAGGTTCTTCAAAGAATTTGTTGGATAAGGTATATTTGTCACTACGCTAATATGTGGTTAACTTATTTACAAATATTGTGGGTATGCTCCTTGTTTATAAGGCTTTACTAAATATGTTGTCTGCATATAACTTGTTCAGCTTTTGTTTTTGTTTTAATATAACTGATTGGTTGATTTTGATAAAATTTTATCATTAATATGATTGAGAAGCCTTGTTCTTTTTATACATTTATGTCTTTTTGGAAGCATTGGTCTGCTAAAATATGTAATTTGTTGGGTTTCACTATAAATTCTTCATTTGTTAAGGTTGGGCATTTGGTATTGTTCTTTGTTGTCTCTGGTTTAGGGATTTTCAAAAAACTTGATTCCATTGGTTGAATTTTGTGTTTATCAAAATCTGGAAACCACATGCTATCTTATGTGGTTGGAAATTTTAAAATTGATAAGGCTTTATTAATTTGTTGGCTGAATATAACTTGTTCATTTCTTTTTGGTTAAAAAGAAATTTTTTGTGATATTATATCATAGTTATGTATATATATATATTGTCTAGTTAGAGAATGTCTTATTTTTTCTGAAATTGAAAGCATAGTGTTAGAGCTGCTCACCACCGCCCACAAAAGAGAAGAACTCATCTGGTTTGAGGAGCCCAATATGGATAGGCAGTGGATTTGTAATCGCAATCCACGTACTGAGGAGTATTCAGATGGGGTTAATTCATTCATTGATGTTGCATGACACCATGTCAATAGCATGAATGAGACATTATGTCCATGCAAGAATTGCCAAAATTTATTTTGGCACTCTTTGGAGGTGGTTTATGTTCATCTGTTGAAGTTTGGGATGTCAGTGACTTATGATATATGGGTGTATCATGGAGAATACATGACTGGTCGTGGTTTGATTCCCCCAGTTCAGGTGCGTACTAATGAAGTGAATAGAAGCTTGTTTAATATGATTGATGATGTTTTTCATAGAATGGATGGTGATAAAGAACCGATAGAGGAGGAAAATTATATAATGGGCAATGAGGATAGTATAATGGGTGTTGCAGCAACCAATCATAAAGCTAATGTCGATAATTATGAGAGGTTGCTTCGTGAGGCTCAATGACCTCTTTACGACGGATGCACTGATTTCACTGTTTTGACCGCTGTTGTGGAGTTGCTTCATTGCAAGGTTGATAGTCAATGGACTAACAAGTCTTTTGATAGGATGCTAGAAATCAAGAGGCGGATGTGTCCTAAACCTAATTATCTTCCTGAATCTTACAATGCATGCAAAAAGATGTTGAGAGGTCTTGGCTTGGGGTATGAAAACATTCATGCATGTATAATGAATGTGTTTTATTTTATAAGGAGCATGAAAAAAAAAAGACAAGTGTCCTTTTTGTAATGAGCCAAGATATAAGCACAGTGAGCGCAAGCAAAGGAAAAAGGTTCCCCAAAAGGTGTTGCGCTATCTCCCACTTAAGGACAGATTACAAAGACTATTCATGTCCAGGCACACTGCTAGTGCTATGAGGTGGCACAAAGATAAAAGAATTGAGGAAGAAGGTGTTATGAGGCATCCTGTGGACTCTATTGCTTGGAAAGAATTTGATAAAACATATGCTGAGTTTGCTGAAGACCCTCGAAATGTTAGATTAGGCCTTGCAACTAATGGGTTTAATCCTTTTGGGAATATGAGCACATCTTATAGTATGTGGCCTGTGATACTTGTACCATACAACTTGTCGCCATGGATGTGCATGAAAAAACCATATTGAATGATGACCTTGTTAATTCCTGGACCAAAAGCACCAGGAAAAGACCTTGACGTGTATATGCAGCCACTAATTGATGAGCTTAAGGAACTATGGGAAGATGGTATTCAAACCTATGATAAAGTGAGTGAGTCTGCATTTAATATGCGTACAGCTGTGATTTGGACTATCAATGACTTTCCGGCTTATGCAAATTTATCCGGTTGGAGTACCCAAGGTTATTTGGCATGCCCCGTGTGCAATAAAGATGCATCATCTACCGGCATAAGGAGTAAGGTTTGTTATACTGGACATCGCAGATACTTATCTATGGATCATTCATTTAGAAAAAGTCCATTATTTAATGGAAAGTCAGAGATGAGACCTTCTCCAAGGGAATTTTCTGGACATGACATACTTGACCAATTAGATCTCATCTTACCTTCTAATCCTGGTAAGCATCCAGACAACAAAAAGAGAAAGAGAAGGGAAGATTTTGAATTAAATTGGACAAAAAAAAGTATATTTTTCGAGCTTGATTATTGGCCTATGTTAAAAATTAGACATAATCTTGACGTTATGCACATTGAGAAGAATATATGTGACAACATTGTTGGGACATTATTGAGTATAGAGGGTAAATCCATGGACACGTACAAGGCAAGGTTGGATTTGGCTGACATGAAAATTAGGAAACACTTGTGGTTAAAGCCAAAGGGGGATAAGACTAATAAGATGGAAAAATTTCGAGGGGAGTATGTGTTCAAACCAGCTGAACGTACAGCTTTTTGTGAATTCTTAAAATTTGTGAAATTTCCAGACGGGTATGCATCAAATATATCACGGAATGTGAATGTTGATGAGGGGACAGTTTCAGGTTTAAAAAGCCATGATTTCCATATGCTAATGCAAAGGCTTCTTCCAGTTGGAATTCGAAAAGACTTGAAAAAATCAATATATAGCCCACTTGTGGAGTTATCAAGTTTCTTTCAACAAATATGTGCAAAGACATTGAGAGTTGCAGATTTGGATAACTTGGAAGAAAACATTGTGATGACACTATGCAAGCTCGAGAAAATATTTCCACCAGCATTCTTTGACGTCATGGTTCACTTAGCCGTGCACTTACCACAAGAGGCTAAACTTGGTGGTCCAGTGGGATATAGGTGGATGTATCCCATTGAGAGGTAACTCTATTTTTCAGTTTTAATTGAGTATTAAATGTCTGGGCAGATTCTTCATTGTGGCCAATAATCAATTATTCTATTCTTTTTCAGGTTGCTAGGAACATATAAACACTACTACAAAAAGGGCAAAAGACGACCAGTAAACAACGACGGTAGATCAAAAAACCGTCGTTGTTTTTTAAAAGA